TTAGTTAGTTAATTTGCTGAATTTAACACAAAGCTACTCAAGGGCTATCTGTGCCAGTGTGGTACAACAGAGCACCTTTTTCTTACAATAAGAAGACCAGGAGTGTGTTAGACATACACGACTGTTTAAGTTAATGAGAGTATTATGATCTAGATGGTTTATGTATAGCACGAGTGTTCAATTTACATAGAAGCGATAGTTCATCGCAGGTTTGTTTACATAACTGTGTACCAATCATACCGTATAGAGTTTAACTGTTGTGAATTGGTGATTGTTGTGTTTTTGCGTCATGTTACTAGAACCTTATAAGCTTTTCTCGTTGTTTCAATTGAATACTATTGCATCATGAGATCTCGTAGTGTGTAGAATGTTCGAGGCCTTTGTCGGGCTATAAACGTAGTTCAAGTAAGTAAGACATGGTTACTGAGATAGATAGATCTAGACTGCGTGATTGTGAGTTTAGCCATAATAGCGTATAGCGTCGATTTTTAAAGTGAAATTATCACAGATTGTATTGTAAAAACAGAGTAGAGAAGAAATAATTTGTCTTGTCAAGGTCAAAGAGGACACAATTCAACCATCCTATGAAACAGTGTACAAGTTCCTTGACTGGTCAAACTGCAAAAAGCAACACTTTACGTTGGATTTAGCTCGTGATTTCATCTGGATCTGGATTATTCCAAAATTAGAACTTAGTATGTATTTATCTACAAAATTCCTAAATATTTCTATCAGAGTGTAAGTTATTTGGTATTTGTATACCACATTTTCAGTTCCTTTCATCTTATGCATATTAATTGTTTGTGGAAGTTTTCATTAATTGTTTGTTGATACAACACAGTGGTAAGTTCATCCATAATAAAATAAATTTGTGTACACTCAAATTTTAGACCTCGCGGTGAAGAATGGGATCTGTCAACGTAGCTGGGGGATCTATCCTGATCCAACAAACTGTGCAGGCTTCTACATCTGTGTGAAACACATAGCCAGGAGGATTATGTGCCCAATAAACACCGTCTATCACATCGAGACAAAGGTGTGTGATCACCTAGCCACAGTGGACTGCACAGACAGAGGAGTACCCAGCTGGGACTTTGAGGGTCAGTGGCTGTATTGTAAAATTAGATTACATATGCCAACTATGAGTGTTGAAGAAATAAGTTTAAAATTATTAAGTAATATATCAGCTTAAAATTAATTAAAAATTAACAACTGCATTTACTTTATTTTTTAAATCATAAATTAATGATTGAACTGGATTGAATATTACTAGATATTAATGCACACTTACTATATCTTGTTAGTGTTTTTCACTGTGAAGAAATAAATTTGGTCGCTAGTGAATCAATATGCAAACTTCTATAAGTCTATATAACTATTGATAAGTTGTTTTGTCACAAACCTGTTCAACTTCACTGGTAGATTCTTGATAAAATGGTGACTTTTGTAAATAGTTTTGACTACGGTTATATCAAAAGTAAGTTTTTGTAATAATTATTTTAGACTGTTTGAACGTAGGTTGGATTTGTGTGAAACTTATGTCGAAGTCGCAAAGTCACCAAATATACCTGCACAAATAATGCATAAGTATTTTAACAAAAATGTTCAAAAAAATTCCGATCACCATACACTCGCAACGTTTGCTTCCATGTTAAATACATGAGAATGTGCATATTAGTTTATGACATTAAGAAGTTTACAAGTTGTTGATTATTGACTTAATGGCTGATGTATTGATTTTTATATAAATGACCTTCCATGGTCCTTATCTTTAGTGCTTGGTGTAAGTTTTTGACTTTTTGGCTTATAGTTTGATTATGTAAGGGATTTATGGCCTTATTTGGTTTGAATGCTTGGTGTATATTTCACTCATTGACTCACACCTTGATTATCATATATAGAAAGGCCTGGTGTGGGTCAGTGGCACCCCTGATTATTATATATGTATTTATGACCCTACATGGTCCACATCTTTATTCACTGGTTTACTGTACATCATACTTTAAAACCCACACTGACTTAGAGGTTTTCATTACTACAAAAAACTTTGTGTGTATTCTGGTACAGTGAAATCCGCAAGAAAAGTATCAAGTACGTGTGAAATGCAAGTTCTGGAAAAGTTATGTAGAGAACTTGTGCACCAAAGAAAAACAAAAACAATAACACAAGTGAAAAAATAAGACGAACTTTTATTCACAATAAAGAGC